GTTTACACATCCTTGGTTTTTTAAAATAAAGCCAATTCACTTCAAGTAATGGCATCAAATTTTACTGGTTGGTGTAGTGTAAACACTAGTGACTCACTTAAAATTGTTATTTAACTTGAACTAATGTCGGTGTCGAATACAATTGTTTCATTTGCTTAAAATGGATTTACCGATTTATTTGTTTATTTATATCATACTGTAATATATTAAACACACTGGAAGCTCTTTAATTTATGCTTGCTCAGCGAGCTACAGTATTCTAATTCAATAGTGTTTCATTAGGATTTGAGTGAAAAAGATTACTGTACATACTTTACATACATTTATTACACAAATATATATATACATGTATATATATAGTATATATATATATATATATATATATATATATATATATATATATATATATATATATATATATATATATATATATATATATATATATATATATATATATATATATATATATATATATATATATATATATATATATATATATATATATATATATATATAATGCAGTCATGTACTGAATATTCTATGTAAAAAATATAAATTTTAAATGAATTATTTCTAGTGTGGTCGACTTCCTACACAAAGACAGGCTATAAATAGCCGTCTTACTCCCCTCTGTTCTCAGAGAGAAGGTCTTGGTAAATAACTTTTGTTTGTTTATTTTCATTGTTTGTCTAATTTATCATGTTGTATCAAAGTAATATTACTAAAAGTTTTAGGCAGCTACCAAACAGGGAGATACTACCGCCTGGGAAGATATTGGAAGCATAATGTACAGTATTATCTAATGGTAGATCCTACTTCCATATGGCATCACGAAAATTGTGACCAAGTCTTAGGTTGCTGATTTATCTTACTGCCTCATTTACACACAATTGCTGAGTTTCAATTGTTTCTCTTCCTTTGACAACACAACATACATACAATATAATGTTTCACCTTTGATCTTTTTTCCATTTATTTATGGTTGGTTATTTAAAATAATGCCAATTCACTTCAAGTATTGGCATCAAATTTTACCCGCTGGTATACACTAGTGACTCACTTAAGCGTCAGTTATTTAACTGGAACTAATGTTGGTGTGAGTAAAATATTTCCATTTACTTGAAATAGATTTGCCGATTTATTTGTTTATTTATTTAGCTATAATATATTGTAATACATTAAACACACTGCAAGTATTTTCTTTAATTATATACTTGTTTTGCGAAAAAGGAAGGCTACCATTATACCTGGTAGGTGAAGTTGACCAGACATTAATGATCATTAAGGACCAAACTCCGAATCCATGACGTGACTTCTGTTAATCATTCTCATCCTAAATTTACCACTGTCGGTAGTTTCAAGAATTAACGCAGTCATTTACTGAATATTCTTTGTAAAAAAATTAATTTTAAATTAATTATTTATAGGAGATAAGTATTATGATCAGTAAATATACAGATATGCATTACTGACCACCTCCGAACACAAGGACGGCTAAAAATAGCCACAGGCGGTCACTGTCAAGGTCGCTTTCCCTTTCTCGTCACTGGCAAATGGGGGGGGGGGTGATGATAGCAGCTGTGTTTATTACCGGGGTATATTGTTCTTTTACTGTATGTTAGACAGGTTTATAATACATTTTTATTATTTTAATATACCGGTAATCTTCATTTTAATCCAGCTTCCCAAACGTAAGTTTCAGTATAAAATAATTAGTGGTAGGACCTTGTGAGTGGTTTACCATGTTTCCATCACCACTCTTGACACGCTAAACCGCAATATTTAAGAGGTAAGAATTTTATCTCTGGTGCTTAAGACGACCCCCTAACTTTGGGCTGATTTTTTTTTTGTTCAAATTCCGTCTTGTAGGCCGAGATATACGGTAGGCCTTCCTCAAGTAATTTAATCACTCTTCTTATCCTGCATCGAGTACCGTACTTGGCAAACTTAACTCCCTTATGATAGTCCCGCTTCTCCTTTTCCTTATTTGGCTGCTTAGGTAGCACCACCCAAAAAAGCACACCTAAACAGCCTGGGAGGTCGCGAGGATGGCGCGAGCTACAACACGATAGTTGCATTCTTGTAAACCTCTTTTATGTTCACCACCAGCAATTCGATCACCAGAACGCTTCTTGGAAACATTCTTCTTACCTTGTCTTTCTGTATTCATCACTAAAACAACAAAATTGGAGAAAATAGCAAAAATCACGGAGTAATTGACAGAAACCGCGCTATTCAACTGATCATGTGATGTAAACAGAGAGCGCTGGTGTTAACCATTATTAGTCCTCACTGCGAAACATTCTTTTTACTTATTCTTTTCATACAGTATTTATGGGTAACAGCTAAATTTGCCCCCCCCCCTTTCCCCAAAAAAGAAGAAATTTACAGAGTACCTCTCAAAAAACACTTCACAAACAAAAGACATGAATCATTCGAACATGTGATGTCGAACGTGAACTGTAAACATTGCATAACCCTGTGCCACGCTTAAAACGTTAAGGGTAGACTCAAAACATTGAGGATGGAATCGCGCTATAGCCAACATCTGTATGCAAAAGTTCATCAATCGCGTTGCAACTAATTCGTATAATAATAATAATAATAATAATAATAATAATAATAATAATAATAATAATAATTAACGGTTTATTGAAAGAGCTTGGCAGCCAGAAGGCTGAAAATATACAGTTACATAATTGGGGAATGGGTTTCGAATTACAAATAATATACAAATAACATAAGTGATATAAATAAGATATATAATAACTAGATGGGGAAAAGCTCAGACTACAGGGCATTTCAACATAGTGACAGTGCAAGAAGTAGTATTTACTGGGAGTCAATACACTGGTTTGTTACAAGTTATTGATAATTTTTACAATGGTTGGGACTGGGCTGTTCTTATAGCGATCAGTTCGTGCACGTATGGGCTGGATGCGGTTGTGGTGTCGAACAGTAATTCTCGGGCTAGGGATCTCAGGTGGTAGTAGGAGCCGGTGTCGAGGATGGTGCAGAAGCTTCTTACCAAATTTGCAGATGAGGTCGTGGTGATCGTCAGTGAGAGTCGAAAGGGTCAGTGTGTTGAGCGCTTCTTGATATGTGGAGTAGGAAGGGGAGAGAATAATCTTGCATGCCCTCTTTTGCACTTTTTCTAGGTGTTTACGTTGTTTGGCATTTAGGGAGGAAGACCAGGTAGGGGAGGCATAGGTGAGCTTGGGAAGTATGAATGTTGAGTAAACATTGAGGAGCTCGGGTGCAGGAACTCCGTGTTGACAAAACACGTGTTGTAGCAGAAATGACTGTAACTGGTATGAGGACTGTCACACCATTCAAGACGGTGGCCAGTATTTAGCTGGCTGGATCTCGCGAAATTCACGATATTTTGCTCCAAATACTGTATAAGACTTGGTTACATTAGGTAGTGCTCGCGAAATAAAAAAAACGCGGAATGAAATCGCGCAAAATATGAGATCTTACTGTAATTTAATGTTGAAGGGATACAACTTTGCTCATTTATACTTATATTTATCACAATCTCTCTAAAACTACTTTAGGCTTCGTGTTTATTCAAGACATCTTCAGGTCATGAGACCCACTAATCCCCCAGCCAAGAAAGGGTGACCTGACATTCCATCAGAAGGTCAGTACTATGAGACCACTAATCCCCCACCCTACCTTGACCTGACATTGCGTCAGGTCAGGTACAGGAGACCCACTAATCCCCCACAGCTCCATGGGAGTGGAACTTATCAGTCTTTGCTCTAACTTACAGCTTCATTCACACCCATATCATATAGATTTTTAATTTTTAAATATATTTATTTTAACCATACTTTTAGTTAAACTGTCTTGGATTATTATAGTAAAGAAATGGAGTTTCTAACTTAATTAGAACTGCATTTACGGAGTCTGGTAGTTTAGACTCAAGGAAAACTTCTCCAGCACCCAGAAACATTCTGGGGAAGTGGGCTAGTGTTTGTGTGTGCAAGATGTCTAGTTTAGACCCTCGGAAACTTTTCCCAGTAACCAGAAAAGATTCATAATGAATTTTTCTGGGTTTGCGAAAGTCGTCTTGTTAGCCGGAAATCTCTCATCCCTGGAAGTGCTCTGCACCAATTGTTCTAGCTAACAAGGATATCGCTGTACTTTGATTTTTATATCGGATTGAGGTCTGGTTTCCAGGTCACTTCAGCACTAAAAAATTCTTGCATATTCTTTGTGATGAGGCAGCATGATGAGATGGCATGTCTAGCTCCTTTTGCAGTTAGTTTGAATCATTTGTTTTGACACATCTTGAAAGACATTGTGGTGAGATTTCTTCATTTATGATGTAAACAGTCAGCTTCTTCATGACTTCTCACCTGATAAGCAAGTCACTAGCCTTGAAGATCTTTCTGGGTCATCCAGGAGACAATTTCCAAATTGGAACAGAATTTTGGGGGAAAATGCGAGCTGTATGCCTCAGCCTTAATTGTTGCTGTGCCTCGTTTTGGATTTTATTCAGAGGAATTTTTTCACCCACAGGTTAAAGATGTGAGCCTTTTCCTCACAAGAAATGACCTTTTTACCCATGGTGACTATGTAAGAAAAAATAAATTGGGGTATTATAGTTTGTTCTGTCATCTCATCAGAATGTGGCAGAAACTGATGCAGTCGCTCCAGATTACAGCTAAACACACTGGCTGTGCAGGACACTCACGCAGAGAAGCTTAAGGCTTCATGAGTTTGTAGACAAAATTAAATTTGGTGGGACGTAATCAGGCTTTAATTTTTTAACATGAAAATGATTCTAATTACGTAATTGGTTCCATTATTTTTCACAGACACTGGACAGTATATGCTCTCTGAAGGTCTCAGAAAGGACTTTAGCTTTAGTGTTCATCCAGTTGACTTTAGTCTTAAAATGGGAGTACATTTTTCAACCCTTAATTTCTTGTTTCAGGATTAAAGAAAATGACATGTAATATGTTAATTAAAAACATAACACACTATTACAGGATCTCAGTTTCTTGCAATCCATCTGGGTGGAGGATACAGTCAAGCAGCAGTATTGTCAAGAGTCAGTCTTAGTTATGGTTTGGCTGCCATTGTGTGTCCATCTGTTATAAATATGACCAGCAGTCTTCTGGGGTAAGTGTTTATGTTCTTTTAATTTCATGACTCTTGCCTGGGGAAGGTGAAGGGTACATACATCTGAATTTAAATTTCAAATTATATATTTTGCACTGATGTATTTAAAATATTTTCAAATATTAAAATGTCCTTGTATGACTGTAATTTAGTTAATCATATATACTTCTGATATAGCTGCCATCTGTCCTTTTTTAATGAAATTAGAGAACATCTCCAAAAGTGACTGTGAAGTTACAATACTTGATTTTTTATATTTTATCAGAGGATAATGTACTCTTTGTGGTGCTCTTCAGAACTTACTGATGTATGATATATGCAACATCATCAAACAAACTGTGCAAAGGATTTTCTTTAGTACAAGAAGTTTGAAGAAAAGGATATAATGAAGTAGGAAATGGTTTACACAAGATGAAATGTAATAAAGTTTTGTGACTGAAGGAGTAATAAATGAGGTTTAGGAGATTCTGCTTTGCTGTTTTCTTGAAATTTATGAATCTTAAAAAGGGGATTCTGTGTTATATGCAAAAGCTTTAGAGCGATGAATGAGATATTGAAATTCCTGTACAAATATAGTGATGTACAAGGGCGCATTAGTTGAATGTTGGCTAACTTAGGGTCTTTTGATTATGGTGGATTTAGGTTCATAGATTGTTGTTAAAGTTCAGGGTCATGGGTGTTGCCCCCTGAATTATACAGTTAAAAACATGAAGGTCCACCATTCTTTAAAATTTGGGCTAAAATTTGGTGCTGATGAAGGAAGATAAAAATAATTTGGTGAAACAAGAGGAAACAATTAGATGTAGTGTGAAGAAAGGTCAGATTGTCTTGGGCTGTATTATGTTCATCTCCCTTTTGCTTACTTGGTGGCTTATGGGTACACTGGACTGAGAGTTATTATGATAAAAATACTGCTGGTGGTGATGTCCAAGTTCATTGAGAAAACTTGTTGAAAGAGAGGCATCAGGGATGATACAACCCAATGGAGTTTTTCAAATGAAAGATACTATGTTATTTCATATTTAAAATCTACTTACTTACAAGGACTTGCTCTAAGACACATGTACAATCAGAGTCAATAGTTTGCCCCATGGTGAAACTGAGTCTTGGAAATGAGTTTACCAACTGACTTAGCCAGACTGTCATCTGGTGTGGGTGTGCTGTTTTATTTCATTTAGGGTTGATACTGCTTTAATTTGGGAGGGAGCGAACATTTGACCTCGACTGTACCATGTACAGTCAACAAAAAAAATTTCTGCACCTTTATGGTGTTATACAGTATGACACACCTGACCAAGAATAATGAACAACACTCATTTATGCAGGTGATTCCTGTTAATTTCTCTGTATTAATTATATGTGATATAAAAAAATACATCATACTGGTTATACAATGCATCACACAACCAGAAATACCAACCTTACCAAATTAACATGGCCTCAGTCAGTGATCGTTGCAAAGGCCATCAGACCTTGGGGGTGCAGAAAGTTTTTTGCTGACTGTACATGTAGTGTGAATACAGTACTTATAAATAATACTTGACCACCGAGAACATGCAAAACAAGAACTCGGCTTGTGCTCAAGTGACTTGCATCTAACAAAATTTACTTAATTCTATTAATATTGAATTGAAGAGAAGAGGGAAGTAAAGTACTGTATTGTAGTGAGTCTATAATGTACTGTGGTTTGACATGATATCAATAAAATATTTATATTTTAAATTGACTTAAATGAAAAGATTTTATGCATTAATGTAATGAACTTTGCATTTTTTGTAGATAATCTCGGAACAGTAGTTAAAATTATAGATTTATTTACATTACCCTACCTCATACATTATGAGTTCTGTCTTTCCTTAGCTTTCTTTTAAAATAACCCTCTGAGTTTTACTCATTTTTCTATTAACTATGCTATAGAGGTCTCTCTGCCCCCCTCCCCCCCCCCCATTCATGGGGGATGTGTTCCTTGGCAAGATTGTGATTGTGTATTCTGTGATTAGGGAAGCCAATATAACATGGTGGAATATGTTCCTTGACCATCCACTTTACCCCAGAATCCCAGTTATCCAGCACCTACTGGGATTGAGAGGTGCCGGATAAAGAATTTTACCAGTTAGTTGAAACTCGCTCTTAGGATCCCCCTATAAATCCTACAATGCAGAGTGCTACAGGCTGACCTCGCAAATTCGTATCACAGAGAAATGGATTTATTTAACACTTATTTCATTCTATATAAACAGTGTGGCTTATCAATAAAGAAAATATAATATAAACTATAAATTGAGAAAAATTAGGAGCATGGGTGTGTATGTGTGATAAGTGAACGTGTGTGGAGGCAGTTATTGTCAAGGCCTTGGCTATAACTATGTGGTTGACTAGCTAGCCTCGCATATTGTTACTTGTAATGAAACTTGTTATTCGCAGAGGTTAGGTTCCAGGAAATGGCGTGAATAGGCAAAACTGCGAATAGCAACTTATACTATCTTAGTGCACGACTGAATGCCTCTACCAAAGGAATTACTAGCCGTGGCAGCACTCATCCCCCCTTTTAACTTATAAAATCAACTTTCTTTGTCAGGGTCATCATTGACTTTTACCTTTTACATTTCACTCCATTAGCATCACTAGCACTGACACTAAGCAGTCTTTTAGGGGTCATTTCACACAGAAACACTAAAGTTTTGTGAGTACAACACGAGATGCTGCGTGGGGTGACTTGTGCTGTGGGAAAAGGCTCACAAGCTAGCCACCATAGCCACCATCTGCTTATTGCGAATCGTGAAATCGCGATTTGCATACCCGCGAATGTCAAGGGTCTACTATACTCTAATTTGGCTTAGAAATAAGGAAAATATAGTATAAAACTTTAAAATAAGAAAAATGAAGAGCAAGGGTGTGTATGTATGTGGAGGCGGTGGGCTATAACTGTGTGGTCACGCTGCCTCCCAATGTGACATCATGGCATACACACAGCTCAGAGCAGCAGCCACATGTCTCTGAGTCAGTGAGTTGAGTGTTTGGCTGAAATGGGTCACATCGCCCAGAGGATGGTTTGAGTGTAGGAGGAGCAGTTTTTTGTACATAAACTTCGTGCTATTGTACTTTATGATATGCTATGTATCGATTTTATTGTTTTTCATAATAAATATGGCAGCTCATATCCATTGTGCACAGTATGCAAACTTATGATTCTTACTGATTTTGTTGGAATTTTTATTTTTATTATTTCATTTTGGTGCCCGTTATTTGAATCTACCGGATACCGGATAACTGGGATTCTACTGTAAATGCTTTATAAGAGCCTAAAAATAGTTCAAAACCTGCATCACAGAGAGATAAATTGTCAGAGTAATCAGCGTATAGCAGAGACAAGATAGCCTGAGCATTGTCAAGAACAAGTAGAAACAACCAAAATGGCATTTCTTCACAGTTGAGTGCTTTCATAGGTGATGCCATCTATAGTAATAATGATAATAATATTAATATTTCTTGGGATGGAGAATATATAATTACCCATTACATGTACATCTAAAGAAAATGATCGTTACATATGAGGCGCTCAGTAGAACACCGATGTATCAACCAATCAGGGAGAAAAGAGATTCTTGTCCCAATGTGTTGCTCAGGTGAATCTCTGTAATGTTAGCTGGGCTGGCAAGGTAAACATGCCATTGCAGCATGGATAAAATTGGGTTATAAAACATAGGAATTTTGGCTGTTTGCACAGTCTCTGTTTGGCATGTGTAATTCATGGGGATGGTGGAACACCAATGTATGCATCACACAGCACGATCAATTAAAGGCACATGACATCACTCTTTCAGCCAGTGAGAACCCTGGGATACGAGGGTGTGTGCAGCCAAGGGAGGGGAACTCTAGTTTCTGTTATACTCTTGCTATTATCAGACAAGAAACTTATAGAGATCTTGGAAACAATAGGCATTAATGAAAGAGGTATTAGAATTTTAAAGAATCTTTACAGGCAACAGGAGGCTGTAGTGTTAGTAAATAATGAATTTACAAATTGGTTCTCAGTTAGACAAAGCTGTGTTCTATTCCCAGCATTGTATAATATATATTCCGTGGGGTCTCATTTTGCTCGTTTATATCATACTGGTACATGTCCGTGCATCAGAAATCTGTGCAAGCGATGCTCTTTAACGTGTTAAAATTGTTATATTGTACTGGACTCACTAGACCTTTACTCTAAAACGACATTGGGTAACCAACTTAACCTTCAAAATTGACACATAATGTCACATAAACTGCATCTACAATATAAAATAAATATTTTAAGAAAGCCCAGGAAGTTAATTATGCTATACTCCACTGTTTCCACTGAATAGTAGTGGTGTGGGAAGTGGCAGGATCATCATCACTGGAGTCTCCCTGAATTGCTGAGGTGTAAAATAGGTGGTGATGAAAGCTTGTTGGCAGCATTTAAACTCCTGGTAACATTGCTTGAAGGGTTTCACCAAGCTGTCTAACTGTACACTGAATTCATGATTGTGTTGCAAGCCGGGCTCAACACTCATCAAAGTATCCTCGAGTTCTTTAACGTTGCTGAGAATTTGCGTCACCTGCTGCTGAGTCGTGCTTCCCTCTATCTGTTCTATTACTGCCACACCACCAACGCTGATTTAACCTTTATACCTCTTTCTGTTCTAAGGGAGGTGTATGCGCCTACTGCAACACACGTACACCTATAGCCCGACTCACGGATCTTGAATCTTCTCTTCATGATGTCACCTGGTTCAAAATATCTCTACCAACTGTAACTATTTTTCTTTGTTTCCTATACTGTTCCCCAAACTCTACCAACTATTTGGATCTCTTCGACTATCTCACTTCTTGCCATGATTCGTTGCTATCCACACACCCCACACAGAACATATGGGATTAATTGAAATAGAGACTGGGCCGACCCCCAAACTCCACTTTTTCCGACACAATACGTACATTGTAGTAAAAATAGTATCGCAATTTTATGATGGTATGCA